TTGTTGTGCTATCTCTTGTCTTTCTTGGTGTTGCAATTACGGTGGCCAGCAGTGTATGTGTGTGTGTGTAATTATTTTATTATCTAAAAATTGAGCAAAAAAAATAATTAAAAAAAATATTTTATAAAAGAAAGTCTGTTTCACTATCTTCATGACGTGTTGCTATTGTTCTGTTTGTAAATAATGGTAAAATTTACGGAAGAAAAGTTGATCAGAAAGCCAATAAAATATTCAGGAGAAGAAATGAAAATCTATTTGGTTTTGTTTTATATAAAGCACGACATATAGTGAATGCGAATTCTTGACATTGATTATTGTTAGACAAAACATGTTCTTGGAAAAAATCCAAAGTTTCTTTTCTTTTGTGAGTCCGATAAACTATAGGCCCATTATGATTTATTACGACAAAAAAAAGCATCGGGGGGGGGGAATAAATGCTTTAATTTGTTAAAAATGAGGATCAGGTGCTAAGAACATAAATCCATGTAATTGAGGTTGCAAATACAAGGATTACTCATCCATTCAAAATCAAGCTAAAAACACATCAAAGATGTTCAGAAAGGGGAGGAAGAATAGTATTCAGGCTACACTGTACCCTTTTTCAAAATTTTTTTTGGAGACAGTAACTGTAAATTTACTTATATTTTATATTTATATTACATTATTAAGTTGTTTCTGAAAGTAAAAAACCAATTTGACCAGCCATTATTTCACAATTTTAAAAAATTAAGAATTTTCGAACTTTTTCAAACTTTTATAAAATGTTCATTTCTTAAAATTTTTAGTCATTTTGATTTATGTTTCTTAGATTATTGCGAATTAGTATGGATTTGAAATCTGTTTCCTTGTTGATTTTTAATACTTATTTTTCTAGCTAAACCTGGAAGAAACACGATAATTTTTAAAATATTAACTATGCATTTTTTAAAAAAATAACAATAGATCCCAAACTTAAATCCATACTAACTTTTATAGAACATACGTTTGGGAGTATCTACAAAAATTTCATGATTTTATCTTGAACAGAAAAAAAAAAGCCTTAGGGATTAGAAACACCTATATCTTTAAATTTGAAGTCTGAGAAAAACGCATTTAAAGTTTGCAAAGCTTAAAACAAAAACCTATAATGAGTGTAAAGCTCTATTTTTTAATATGTTATTTTTCAACATATGTTCTGTATCAAAACACTACTTTAAATAATTATGACTGAAAACATTTTTTTAAATTCAAAATATATTTTTGCATAATATTGACAGTGTTTGTTACGACGACAGGTTATTCAGCCTAAACTTAAGGAAATATTTTCGCAAAAGTTTTAAAACACAAATCATTTTTTTTTGCAACATAATAATGATACTAACTTAAGCTACCAGGTGTATGCAAATGAAATGAGACGAATGTTTAAAAAAAACACAATAAATTTGCGAAAACTGTTAATATTTCTTTATTTGAAATAATATCCATCGCTAGCTGCACATTTTCCCCATCTTTCGGGCAATTTGTGAATACCACGCCAAAAAAATGATCGGTCTTTTGAGGCCATCCAGTAATCAAGCCAAGATTTGATGTTTTCGTAAGAAGTGGAGCGCTGGTCAGCCAATGCGTGTCCCAATGATGCAAATAGGTGGTAATCGGAAGGAGCCAAGTCTGGCGAATACGCCGCATGCGCTTAACGATGTCCTTGGTCTGTTTAGCACGGTGGCTAGGTGCGTTGTCATCAAGGAAAATCATTTTGCGCTGCCGTTTCTTGTATTGCTCTTGTTTTTCGAGTATAGCATCTTTCAAATTAAGTAATTGTTGTTTGTAGTGATCAGTATTAACGCAGTTTGAGAAGCTCATAATAGATTGGTCCCTCCTGATCCCAGAAAATACACAGCATTGTTTTGCGGCCGAAGCGATTCGGCCTTGCGGTCGATTTGGACGGCTGTCCGGGGTCAACATATGATCGATTACGCTTGGGATTCTCAAAATAAATCCATTTTTCATCACCAGTCACAATATGATGGAGATATGACTTGCGTTTGTAGCGGGCAAGCAACATTTCGTACACGATTTTTCGGTTTTCCTGTTGACGGTCCGTTAGCTCGTGTGGTACCCATCTACCGACCTTTATTATCTTGCCCATTGCTTTGAGACGACGGGAAACAGTGCTCTGGTCAATATCCAATTGTTCTGCAAGATGTTCTTGCGTTTGGCCATCATCTTCATCAAGTAATGCTTGCCATTCAGAATCTTCAAATTTTTTTGCTGGTCTGCCACTCTCCTCGTTTCTCACATCGAAATCACCATTTTGAAACTTTTCAAACCACCTGTAGCACAGCGCACGGCTCAGAGCATTGCCACCGTATGCTTATACAAGCATTTGATGCGATTCGGCAGCATTTTCTTCTGATGGTAAAAAAAATTAATGCTGTCCGCAAATCGTGGTCGGAAGTTATAAAATTCGACATTTTCAACGCAGTAAAAAAAAATACAATGCACGCTGAAACTCGTCCAAATGTAAACTAAACATGAGTATCAAAGGTCAAACTATAAAATAATCACGTGTCATGGTTTCGTATTGTTTGCATATATGCGTGGCGACATCTGTTAGCAATCGTCTCATTTGATATGCATACACCTGGTAAAAATCACCAGGTTTGTTCATAAAATTTAATTTCTTTAGTTTTTTAAATTGGGGAGTTTAGCACCTTTTAAAGTCGTCCAACAGAAACTCAAGTACCATAATATAATACCACTATATGTTTACTATAATGTAGTTTGGCACATAATGGAAATATATATATATATATATATATATATATATATTCAGTTTTATCTACAATACTAGTAGTCAGAATACTTGTATTCGGGAGTCTTTTTGGAGTATCAGTGAAGGGCTGGTTTTTAGATATATCATTTTCAGTAGTGTTCCATCGCTTCCAAATATTGCTTCGCTTATCTACGTGAGAAAGTTTTGGCCGTGACATTTTCTTAACAGAAAAATATTAATGAAAAAGCTTTTAAATTATATAAATTATTTTTTGTTTAACAAAAATTGGCCTTGAAATCAGTTTAGTTAATTAATTATGAGAACTCAAAACATAATCAAGCACAAATGATTTTTGTAATAAAAATTTAAATTAATAACCATTTTATATTGAAATAGTTAATTGTGATCTAAAATATTTTTAATTAATTCAATATAAGAGTGGAAAAATGCTTTAAAATGAAGCTGAACCCAAAACCTTAGCTCAGAAAACATCAAATATCTTAAAAACTAATTTGTTAGTAGATCTGCAGTTTGGTGGCAAGCTTCCCAATGATATGGGCCACAAGAAAATTAAAAAAAAATCGTTATTATTGAAATTAACAGGGCTTTAAACGAAATTTTCATAAAATTTCAATCTCCATGCCTAGAAACTACGCACTTTTCACTGTCCTCTTACAGAGCCGGTTTAATTTACAACGCAAATTGGCACTAAAAATGAGAGATAATCACAAGAAGGTTCGAGAAAAAGTGTCCTTTCGGGGGTCACACCTGAGCAGAAATTTTTGCATCGTGATAAGAACATTAATAATTTATTTTAATCGCAATCACTTTTTGCGTTCGCAAATAGCATACACGTGTGCTACCCTGAAGCAACGGTGTTTGTTTCAAAGACCTTGATTTTTTCCCCGCCCTGATAGTCGAAACCCACTATATATTGAGATTCTTGACTGGAATGAATACACTTGTCATTCTAGAAACAATATTTTTTTAGGAAGTAAAATCATCAGGAAGAAAAAAAGTGTTTTGTTTTCAATCGAGTTGAGTTTTGTATCTGCAATGTGTTTTATTCTTCTGTTCATTCAGAGAAATCGAAATGTTACATTAATAATGTCTATATATTTCAATAAAAAAAATTATTTCGAACAGTTTTTAAAATTATTATACAGACATTATATTTTAATGTGTAATTAAAAATTCGTATATACAGTCTGCTAAAAGAATAGGATTGATAATATCTAATCAAGTTTAACTCAGATATTTAAGATCCCGTGTGATTCGGATATGAAGATATAATTCTTCGAAATTAAGATGTACGTGTTATTAGCTAACTTGGTTAGAAAAATGTCTGGAAATTAGACTTTGAAATAATTTGCATGTATGTATTTGTAAGAGTTAGCATTTATTACGGGAAACATCTAATAAGATTAAAAATTACTAACAGTTTCTTTAGATCAGTTTCCTAAATAATTACCGTAAGTAAAATTTGATTCGGTGTAGGAAATTTAAAGCAGAAAAGTATCAAGTCTCAATTGAAAATGTTAATTTCATCAGTATTATTGATTTTTTTTCATTAATTCTTTTCGAAATAAGTCATTATTTTTTGAGTTTATGTAATATTGAATCTTTTTATTTGGCTAAAATTTAAAATTTATATGTTTACTTTTTATCAAGCATGTCGAATTCTAAGACTGTTATTGATCAATTAAATAAGTTTTAAATCTATGTATGTAGGGCCAATAATAATTAATATTCTAAATGAATTCAGGAATATGTCTGTAGATGACTAAAAAAGTGATTGTCCAGATTTTGATATATTACTAGTTCTTTATGATGATTCAGCATTTATTGACGTTAATCTGCAAGAACTTTAGGGGAATCGAAAATTTTTTTTTCAGAATTTCCAAACCTATTTATGCGGAAAAGACGCTCTGTGGTTCATAGAAGAAGCGAAAAATAAAATAAGCAAGTAATATAAAAAAAAAAAAAAATTAAGTCAATTCTTACTTAGGTCAACAAAGAAATTTTTTATTTTAGTTACTTTTTACAAATAGTTACAATTAAATATGTATATACATATGACAGAATTACAATATTAAGTGACAAAATAGAAAGCGATTTTCCTTGCAATTTTCCTTTCTATATATAGTGTTGAACTATTTGTGTGTGTGTTACTTTTTATTCATAAATTAAAAATTTAATTATTCTAATAAAATAGTATAGTAAAAAAGAAACCACATTCTCAGAAATTAGGCCATTCTAGGTGGGAATCGAACCCACGGCCTTTGGATTAGAAGTCCAACGTGCTATCCATTCCACTACAGAGACACAACGGCCGATTTTTCTTTCGATATATGCTTTGGAATATTATTTTTGTTTGTTACTATATCCATTTTTTAAATTTACTTAATAAATTAATATTTGAAATAACTGTATTAACATCAAGTGTCATCCACTGCAAGTTTTAAAAAAATGTATTTGAACTTGAATGGATGATTAGAAAGAATTTTAATAGCGATTGAAAATTTGAACAAAATATATATGTATATATATATATATATATATATAGTCGAAATTATACAGTGCACGCTATAAAACGGAAGACAGAAACAGCTTGGATCGAACTGCGGGGTTCGACGATGTGGGGAGAGAGAGCTGAGTAATGAAATGTACATTGTACTACTTCTTATTCGGTACTTACTTATCAGAAATCGTCACTTTAGTTATTTATATTGTAGGAAAATAATTATTTTGAATCTAAAATCATCTAACCCAAACTAGATATTTTTGCATTTTTTTCGAAAATTCATCTCTTTTTTAGAAATATAAAATTTTACAATTATTTTTTTAATTATTTTTCTTTTAATTTCCATATTTTAGAAGATCTTTTTAACATAGTTAAGTTCCGTTTAATAATATCCCCCCCCCTCCATATAACCCCGGTTCACTCTGATGTACATCTAAAGATGTACAATGAGTCAATGATGAAACCATTAATGATGTTATTATTTCAAAAGAACTTGGAATTTATTATAAACTAATCACTTTGAAAATTTAGAATTTATTGAAAAGATATTTTTATTTCATCATTTTGTGATAAATGGGCTATCACATTTATCGGTGTTTGAGGTTCGAATAAAGATCAGCCATAATCAGAACAATTCTAATTTATTATTTTTTCACTTAATTTTAACAACCGGGGTAAGAAATGCACACTTCTATTAAGTATAGGAGCAAAAGCACGGTAGAAAGAATACTTAATATTTAATTACAATTCAATTAACTTACTCTGAGAACGCTTTGGTTATCTACAGTTCTAAATTACCGTAATTCAATTCTCAGCTATTAGACTTCTAGTCGCTATTAATCTAATCCAACTTATTGATTAAATCGTACATTATCAATACTTAGTTTTTCAACAATTAATCGTCGAGAAACTCTCGACTAGCTCTCAACTACTTTCCGTTAATCACTAACTACTAACTTCTAACCCTTAACCACTAACTCCACGTACCTAAAAGTTAATGCTTAAATATCATCCTTCATTTGCATAAACCGTGTCTTCTTCTTCGGGAGAAAGTTTTCAATAGAACTTCATGTGAAAGAAACAGTTTTCCCCAAGAAGATTAGTAAGAGACTCGCGGATAGACCCGTTACGATTTTACAGTTTTTTTTTTTTTTTTTATTATTTAAAATATATTTCACTCTGTCACAGTGCAAAAAGCCAAAGAAGTTTTTCTAAACTAAAAGTAATTAAATTTTATTAAAAATCGTTCATATGCCAAGACAGATTTATCTTACTTAGACTCAATTGCAATATAGAAAATATTGCAATGAAGAATGATTTGTCTGTAGAAATTAACTTCGATTTTATTATTCGCGAGCTTATAAGAAAAGGGGACATTTTAATTTAACATTTTATACAATTAATTATTACAATTGGCAAGTTTTAGGTGTTTGATATTAAAAAATGAATGCTTAAATTATTTCACAATACTTCCTAATCTTAAGGTATCCGTAAACATGTTTTGCAAAATGAATAATATTTATGATATTTAGTGTCACTTAGATTCGAATATGTGTATAAAATTGTTTTAAGAATATTATTGCAATAAAAAATTATTTAAATACAATATTTTGACAAAAAAGTGAACATAGAATGACCAATTTTCAAAACATTCTCCTTTTATGGAAAATGCTTCTATAATAATAATATTTTGCCTGTATATAGCTTAGACTTCTGTACAAAGCCCGAACTAAAATTTTAAAAATATATAACATAGAAGTGTATTTATCCATTTTTAAATACAACTGACGGGAGAAATTTTAAGAAAAAAAACGCTGATAGAGAGAGAGAGAGAGAGAGAGAGAGAGAGTTATTTTATATAATTGGTAGTAACTCTGAAATAATGTGAATTTTTCAAAATTCCTAGTTCAGGCTCTCTGAAGAAGTCTTTACTTTATATAAGCAAAATATTATTGTTATAGAAGCTTTTTTTATAAACGGAGAACGTTTTGAAAATAAGTCATTCTAAGTTAATTTTTTGCCAAACTATTGCATTTAATAATTTTTTTACTGTCATAATATTCTTAAAACAGTTTTATACATGTATTCTAATCAAAGTGATAAAATAAATGTCATGAAAATTATCCATTTATGCGCTTTTTTAAAAATCACCGTTCCGAACGTAATTGGATACCTGAAAAAAAGATAACCCCTTAAACAATAAAACAAGTAAGAAATAAAATTTGAATCATTTATGTTTTTGCAGTTTTCATCAATACGATTAGTGAGCTCTGTCGACAAGGTTTTAAAAAGTTCAAAAATGCTTAATACTTTAATGAATGTTAAAATATCCCTTAGGCTTTCTGGCAAGCAGAATGAATTGAGGATTTTTATGAACACATTTCTTTAAGAACTATACCCTAATATATTTCCTTATTTCTTTTACCAACTAGAGCCAAGCATATCTTCTTTGATAGAGTTATCTTCAAAAAATTTAAAACCAACAAACTTTTTACTTTATGGCGTCAATGATATTTTTTAAAGCTCAAAGTTCCATTAAGCTCAGCAATGATGCTTTTACCTCCAATTTTATTGAAGTTATTCGAAGAGAGAGATTGCTTAGTTGTTTATTAACCTCATGCTGATGCTACAGAAGAAGTATTCGTTACGGTCCTGTTATTTCTGAACCATGGTCAAAGGTCAAGGATTGTATATCGCTCTAAAAATTTCACACCTCAACAACGTGAGGAGTTTCAGATCTATATATCGACCCTTCTACGTCTTTAGTGGCACTAAGATTTGACAGAAGTAATGCCGACCACAGAGTTACCGATTTTGAGTGCAGCCTCTTAAGGTGTCCGACTATTTGCGCGACAACTATTTTTAAAAAAAATGGAGATATATGGGGATTTTTTTGGGGATTTGTGCTTTTTTTTAGATTTGTTTAGTACATTTCAAGAAAAATGTACTAAAATTAAGAAGAGAAAAAGAAATTATTGTTACTAAAATGGAGAAAAAATAGGTAACAATTTACAAAAATTAACATAAACAAGGCCCATTCTGTACCAAAAGTTTAAGAATAAATTTTAAAATTTTCAATTCTGATGTGTTGCTATGTTATTCATTTTTGAAATGACCTTCAGGATAAGAGATATTTAAATTTTTACAAAAACTAGAGCACTTTATCTTAGTTATTACATGAAATTGCTTAAGAAAACAGTGATTATATTAACATAAGGGACTGGAAATTTTGTAATAAAACAGTGATTGATAAATCTGAAAATTAAAACACTTCTACTATTATACAGAACATACACAAACAATTTCAGTTAATTATTTTGAAAACTTTTTGAGCAATTCCTGTTTCCGTTTGAGCATTTAAAAAAAACATTTCGAGTAAAACGCGTTTTAAAGTATGACAGTGTTTTAATAAAGCATTTGCTTTTCTTGAAACACTTGTAGTTTTTGTTCTAGTGAACGGAAAATAATAAACTTATTATTTTTATAAGGCTAATAAGATGAACTATAAAATAAAATCATAAAAAAAAATGTCAATTTTTGACAAAATTCATAATTTTAGGGTAGTCGGATATACCTTTTAAAGAGAGAAAGAGAGAGAAGAGTTAACCAAAAACTTTAATTTCATCATATAAATAACACTTGAAGCCGTTATTGGATTAATTTCAATGAGCTTTACGACCCCCAGTATTTTCAAATGATAACATCTTAAATATAGAATCGTAAGGTATTCTGGCATAATCAAAAGAGAAGATTTTTAAAAATATTTGGGAAAACTTGCATAGTGTTTCTTTAAGTAAGTTCGAGTTTTCATTAAATATGTTATCAAATCTTTCTTACCCAAAACAAATTTCAGAAGAATTCACCAAAAAAATTCTTCAGCATCCCTATTTTTATACTAAAAAACAAATATTGTTCCCATTTAATTTGTAATATTTGCTTAGTTTAAGAATTGTGTAACCACATATGCATATTGAATATTTTGTTTCCATATAATTATTTTTTAAAAATGTACTAATAAAAAATATACATTTTTTAAAATTTTTTGTAAAATATACATTTTTAAAACTTTGTATTTTCGAGGACTTGGTGCGAAGGTTCGTTTTCAACAAAATTAAATTCCTATTAGCACTCACTTTATGTTCGGAATTTTACTGACGCATTAACTTTGTCACCTATTCAATATATGCATATGTCAAGTTTTCATCTATTTACGAGGAAATTTTCTTCATTTTTTGACGTTACACAGGTTGCGAATCTTATTAATTTTAAATGAAGTGGTTTAGATAGTGAGGGAGAAGGTATGATAGGTGACGTGGCAGTTGAAATGCACTGACATGATGGAGAATTTTATGGAACCGGACGTCTATTCCACGCAACAGAATAAGAGAATTATTTTCACTTCTTTGGTTTATATCAAAGGCCACTTGTATTGAAATGACGTCGAGCAAAAAGTTATTATTTACTTTTACTAATAGCTCTTATATGTATATGGTTTTCAAACGCTCGCTAGGCATTTTTTATTTTAAATAAGTACGATACATTTAAATTTAAATAACTTAAAGGAAGTTTTTATTGGTTGTGACTGGAGAGAGATGTTCTAATGCCCATCCTTAACCCTTATAGGACCATGTAACAACCTTGTCGAGGTTGTTGGTGTTTAGGGGTTCGAGTAAAGATCAGCCATGACGAGTTTCAAATTCAAATTTAGTATCCCACTTACTGAAACTAAAACTACTAAAGGTAGGGAAGGCGCTACGCAACTAATTAGAAGAGCAATCTCAAAGCTTAAGGATACTTAACATATGAGTAT